TCACTTTGGTTGATCGTGGACGCTGCCTTTGACTCTCTTATTGCATGTACAAGCCGTTGATTTACATTATGTGCAACTCTTAAGAGTAACTGTAACTCATAGAGGTACCGAGGAGCTTCCAATCATTCCCAGAGTGGTGGGGGTCGTATTTAGTCGCTGAAGATAAGGAGTCATATTTGCCTATGCGAAAAATGTTTTTGGTTGTTGACTTTTCTCGGTTTTTCCCTGTTTCAAGTGCGGTGTGCCTCTCCACTCCTCACCTCGGCAGGAGTCTCTTAAGGGAAAACTGGAGGATTGGTAGGTGAAATACTCTGCTAGTTTTCGCGCTTCACAGCGAGGTGGACCTCCTAAATAACACTACCCAGTGCTGCGTCACCGACTTTTCCATATCGAGCAAGCTGCACCAATTGCGCTGACCTTCAATTGCATGAGATCTAACTTTTACAAAGAGGGCTTATTTCGGTGTGGGAATCGAGGGACCTTTGACATATTCCACTCTCCAGGGTCTGCTCTTTTCTACTTATTTTGACCCGAATCGGAATAATTCCTTTCTGGAGGTGAGAAAAAAAGAAAAAAACATTCATGGAACCTGTTGTGATTGCTGCACTGGCAAAGAGTTATACAATTGATGGCTTTCCCACATGCTTCTCCACGCATCCTTTTTCAGGTCGAACGTATCACATGTGTTGGAGCGGGCTACGTGGGTGGTCCCACATGTGCGATGATTGCTTACAAATGCCCCGATATTCAGGTAGATTTCAAATTCATTTTGGGGTCAGTGTTCTGTGAAGGCCAACTGGCACCTTGGCTGGGTAGAGTTCATACTCTGCTCGTCTGCGTCCTCTCTTCCCACTGGAAAAGTGGTTTGTGGATGTCGGTTGGGGCCGACGAGGGCACTGATAAGCAGTAAAAAGACTCGAATTTTTTGTTACAAATCGCTCAAATTGTCGATTCTCAGGTTACAGTGGTCGATATGAATATGGAGAAAATTCTGCAGTGGAATTCCGACAAACTGCCGATCTACGAGGTTTAACTCTAAATGACGATTTTTTTTCGTGTACCTTTGATTATCGCAGTTATAGCCCGGCTTGGACGAGATCGTGTTCGCAGCACGCGGTCGAAATCTACATTTCGTCACTGATATTCCACGAGCGATTCATGAAGCCGATCTCATTTTCATATCAGTGAACACGCCAACGAAGATGTACGGTAGAGGCAAGGTGAGTCAGTTCCAACCTTATGAGCACGAGTTGTGTGCGACGAAGGTGTGCAAGACGCACAGTCAGGGCACGTTCTGCCGCTGGGGAAATTTTGAGAGAATATGACCCCCTGCGCTCTCCACCTATTTTTCCGTTTCTAGTTTCTCTGATTTTTCCAGCCTCCTATCACAGTTTCGGAAATTTCGCGAAAATTTTCAAATTTTCCCTAAAATTGTATCGCCGAACGGAGGAGGTATGTACCACTTGTGGAACGGAAAAAAACAGCGAGAAATAAGTAACCGGAACAACTTTTCCGAACGCGGCGTGTTTCTCTCGAAAGCAAATACGCCCCCCCCCTCCCGCAACGAGCAAACGATGAGCAAATACGAGACCCTCCCCCCTTAGAGTTCTCCCAACGGCGTGAATAGCTCCCGTGAACATGGATGGTCAACTATTAAGAGTTTTTGTCAGATTAAATACGACCCCCTCCTCCGCGGGGGATTCATCAACGTACGATGTGCCTTGAGTACAGTACCTTCAGCAGTGCGAGGCGTTCGGGCGAGAACAGCGTTTTTTCTTGCCGACACTCTACTCTTATACGAACTTCCCTGCCTCTCTTCCGCGTGGACACTCACAGCCATCACAGCTACGCCCCAAACTGCCCTCAGATCTGATGCATATAATAAAGTGTGGACACCTCAAAATCTAGTTCTCTTTTCTGACATGGAATCACCTTGATTTGGTTACCCATACTATTGGACATAACCTTAAGACTATATATCCAGACGATATTACAGATTCATTTTTGCACAGGCTTTTTCACATATTTTTCATGCCCGTAGCAAAATTATGTGGATATCTGGACAGTACAAAATTTTCCGTCAGTTCTATCATTATTTTTATACTTCTTCGCAATTCTGTTCTGATTTTTCGACGGTGACAACACTCTTTTCGAAAAACAGTACATTCAGATTAGAACAATTTTTGTTGGTAGGTACTCTGCAAGAGAAATTGCCAGACAACTCGAACGTCCAGCTAAGTAAGTGCATTGGAAAAATATATCAAGAATTTCGTCTGTAAATATATTCAGAAGTCTCAAAAATGACAATCTGGCGCTTCAATCGAATGGAGCAAAAAAAAAAGAATAAGAAAAGATTACTCGAAAGATTGTGTAGAAAGTTGCTGTGGCTACGTGCACTGAGATTCCCCGCACCTAACGACCCGTTTCCGCGAAAAAACCGGCAGTGGACGAGTTGTCCGCCTTTCGGACGAGTTTTCCGTCTCTTGGGGCAGTGGACGAGTTATCCGTCTACGTGGACGAGATTCCCCGTACCTTCAAGAGCGAAAAAGGCGAAAAAATCGCGAAAAAATCACTAAGAAATCACGAAAAAAACCGGCATGGAGTCCCCTTAGGGACGAGTTTTTTGCTCAAAAGGGCATTATGATGCCCTTCGAGCAAAAATAGCAAAAATCCCTTTGCTTTCCGGCAGAGGTGCCGAAAAGCAAAAGTACCGGCCCTTTTCAAGGGGCCAGTGGGGATGGGGCGTTTTTAAAAAAACTAAAGAATGGCTAGACTGAAAACAATCTGGACTAAAAACTTGGCAACATCAAGGGAGGAGGCGCAACGACGATCAACAATTTATGTACATTTTTTGAGAACACCCTCACTGATGATCATAAGTTGAACGCTGACGGTAGCTAGATTCGCCTCTAAAGCCTTCGTATAACACTCTCTTGCTCTTGAACTGGAATTCCGGAGAGGCTCATTGTTGGCTTGGGGGGCTTCAGGAGCAGTGGTAGCAGTGGAAGATTGAAGACTCCTCTATCGTCGTGCCGAATCAAGATTACTCAGTATTGTTTGAATTTCAGTGGAGATAAGCGTTAATTGGTTCATGGGACGAGATCGGCAAGGAGATCGTGAGGAACCTTATTAACAGTATACCGGAAGGATCGTTTAAATCCATAGGGTGGTGTAGTGGAAAGTGGCACGCTCACAACCCGTGCGTTCGGAGGTTAAGTCTCGGGGCAACTAGTGCCCAGACCTTCTACCATACATGGACGGTGAATCATACTAGACTCGCCTTGGAGGACAAGAACACTGACTGGTGCAATGGCTATCTTCTTCAAGTCGTTGAATAGGTAATATTGCATTCAATGTGCCATAACCGAGAATGGTCAACAGCGGAAAGTTTGTCCTTTCTCGAAGGAGAGCAATGAGCCTGTGGGGTTCTGATTTTCTCCGTTTCTTTGATGTCACGCACACGCGGCACGATAACTTGGTACTCGGTTCTTGCCATAAATGGTAGCACTGGTGCTATACAGTGGGGAAAATGATGAAGAAGCGAAGTGAAACGCTCAAAAATTTGCAGGAAAAACCCTTTGTTCTACATGACTCCGTAAGCAATTTCCGACGAGTTTCCCGTTTCATAACGCTAATAACAGCTGCGAAAAGTTTCCAAATCAGTTTGGAAGTGTTGTAATTGACGCGGAAATGGTATATGTAAAGGTTTGGCACTATTTACGCTTTACTGCCCCAATCATCTGGAACGTGGCCAGTTTTTGACCGGCTTTTTTCTCTGTAGGCAGAAAAGGCTAAAAAAAGTGTCCGCTGGGGTATTTTGACCTCCCAAACATGAATATCACATCCTGCTCTGCACGAAATCTCCTGGCGCCCGCGCCACAGGCGCCGGCGCCAAAATACTCTAAATCACCAAATTCGCTGAAAACTTGTTCCCAGGGCTAGTCTGACCTCCAGGACACGAATCACATCCGCTCGGCCCAAACTCTCCTAGCTCCCGCGCTAGAGGCACCAGCGCTAAAATACCCCAGATCATCGGTGCCTGGCGCGGGCGCTAGCAGGTTTCGGGCCAAACGGATGTGATATTCGTATTCAGGAGGTCAAGTTTACCCAGGAGGCAACATTTGAGCCAAAGTCTGTCCACGGAGAGAAAAGTCGGTCAAAAATTGCTCGATTCCAGATGATTGGGGCAGTAAGTGGTAAATAGTGCCGGATGTTTTACTGGACACATGTTGATCCCTTCATTTTGTGTTGCTGGGAAGTCAATTTGGATTGCTCATGAGTCTTTAATGGAAATCGCTATTGGAAAAAAAAACAAATGGTGTGAATGTATTTTACACAACCAGTAAGATCTTTCAAGTGCGCAAGAAGACTTTCCTAGCTCAGAGCTCTGTTTGAAGGAAACCAATAAAGAACACTTCATCACGAAGTCCAAAAAATCACAGGACTTCATAACTTAATTTAATAAGGAAACATGTCAGAGAGGAGGACCAGGATCATGTTCATCTCCGGTGGAGAAAGCCGATCTTGTCGCGAATGGATTAGTTGTCTCCTGAACGGAAATAGCTGTGGACCGGGGCGCAGGAATCACGTGTTTCAAATAGTATAGAATAGGTTGTTTCATGTAAATTGCAAATATTTCATGTTTTATATGTAGAAATCCCAGTAGTATAAAATCACTGCCATTAAGCTACATCCTGTGGGGCAGGCCAATTCGGAGTAGGGTGGGCTGTTCAGGAGAAAAATCCCTGATTCGAGCGTCGTTTGCTACTCACAACTCATTGTATCACACGAGTACTCTCCTAACCACCTTGAAAGTGCGTGGGGCATCCTGAAAATATAACCAAGTTCCACTTTTTTCTCTTTGTTTATATTTTTCTGTGTAAGGGAATGGCCCCTGACTTGAAGTATGTCGAATCGGTGTCACGCACGATTGCACAATATTCTGAAGGCCCGAAGGTACGCATTCAAATTTCCGTACTTCAGCTCAATATACAGGTGTTGTAGAAAATTTAAGATCGTTGTTGAAAAGAGTACAGTACCTGTTCGAGCTGCTGAAAGCATCAACTGTATACTGCGAGAAGCTCAGCGGAACGACCCTCGCCTGTCTTTCCAGGTTATTTTCTCAATTTTTAGAGTTTCAAGATAAAACTGGGTTATCGGTAATCCTGTCAGTTTAGGTGCTGTCAAATCCAGAATTTCTGGCTGAAGGAACTGCAATCAGAGATTTGTCTAATCCGGATCGCGTACTGATCGGTGGAGAAACGTCACCTGAAGGTTTGGCGGCTTGTTTCTTAGAAGTCCTTCCTCCATGTAAAGTGAGCACAATCAAGAATATTTGATACTGTTTACCTTTCACTGCCCTTCTTGCCGCCCCTCTCCGTCAGATATTCAAGTCACGTCTGGTCGCTATTTCCCATAATGGTAGAGATGCGTGATGTTGGGGGGGGGGGGGGGGTCGCACTTGACCGCTGGGGAGGGGGGTCGTATTAGGTCGTTGTTGGGAGAGGGGCATCGCATGTGCTTTTCCCGCGTTGGGAAGAAATTTTTCCCGGCTGTTACTTTTCGCGGCATTTCTCCTCCCCCCCCCCTCCTTAGCGTCAGTCGTGGCGCCACCAAAGTTCCTATATAACTATTGTTGTTTCCTATAGTTCCAAAAAGCAGTTGCTTTCACTCGACGGAAAACTTGGGAAAAAATAGCAATTGCGGGAAATTTCGGAAAAAACTGGGAGGAAGCTTGGAACAATGTAGGAAAGTGATATATACTCTCCTTTTCATTACGGACTGTCGGGCGTATCAGCCAGTAGGAGTGCGCACACTGTTTGAAGCCGTTCTCAGCCTTTTCGTTGAAACGCGTATGCGACAAAAAGTGGTAGAAAACGAGTAATACGAAGGATATAATGCTGTCATGTCATTTGCTCGCTTCAACAACTGGTGCAGAAAGACTTTGGCACCGCGGAAAACGCAGCCGCACTGACCCGCCCCGACAGTCCGTAATGATGAGGAGTGTAAGGTGTTGGCAAAGGGGGTCGCATCGAGATGGGGGTCTTGCCAACAAGGGAGTCGTACCGAGACCCTCTTTCAAGGGGGGGGGGCGTACTGACACCACCATTTCACACATCACGATGCTGTACCCTGAGTACTGTCTTGTTCGCTGCGGATGATGGGGCGTGTCATTGAGGCTGGATTGAGCGCGGCGGTACTCCTTTCCCCGCCAATCGTGGAAGCGACTATAATGGGTGGAAAGGGGCTGGCGCCCTACCCCCACTCCCTTGGCATGCTCCACTATTCGCAGCAAAACAGCGCATCCCACCGCATTTGCTGAGAACCTGCCCACACGGGTAAATAACCCTACGAACAAAAGTATCACACCTGTATAGCGTGAAGGCAGCAGGTGCGTGCGCTACGGCCATTAGCGCCGAAACTGCTCTGTAATGCCGGCACCTATAGAGTAGGCGCCACATATTTCGAAGGCAAAGGGGTGGCGCAAATCGGTGACGGGGGATTTTGTACTATCATTGCTTCCTTGGTTCCGGTTTACAAGTCTGGCGAAACCTGTGAACTCTTGTGAAGCTGGAGCAAGCTCGTCAAGCCATCATGGTTAAAACCTGTCAACTCGAGAAGAGGCTGTCTAGATAGGTCGACACGTCGATGGGAAAGTGCAAAATGCCCCCCGTCGCCAAACTGCGCCCACCGAGGCCTGTGGAGCATGCGATATGTATTTCGAAG